GGTTAACAAATAGTAAGAGTGGATTCTAATCCCACTCAAGATGCAATAACTCGTGGGTTCTAAACCTACCAAAAAAATTAGCAAAAATTATTTCCACTCAAGGAATTTGAAAGCATGAAGAACCCGTGAACAGATGGAACTCGTCGAGCGACGAACAGGACAACATGACCCTAGGAAAAATGGTAAATTTGATAAGCATCATAAGGCAAATACGTGACACGATATACAACTGCAATAAACATAAAAGGAGAATTAACAATTACATTCCACCTGCAACCTCTGTCCTTCCTTGCAGCATTAGATCCCCAACCCAGACACTACAAATACATGAAAAGAATAGGAATAATCCGTAAATCGCGAGGAAAATTATGGAGAGGCAATAGGACCCAAATACAGTAACTTCCTACTATTTTGTGGCGAAGAGATGAAAGCCTTCAAACCTTCTTGGATCAGTATTACAGTCACCTTGGAACTACACTTTCCTACACCATTCTCAACAATGGCAGAGCGATCAAATGCAACCGTAATACTCCAGCTGATTAGCTCGAGATTCATGCACATCCGGCCGTGCAAGTCTGAGAATAAAAGAAAATAAGCTACTTGTAACAGAGTAAAGGAAAAAATCGGGACGACTTGCTTACCGTTTTCTAGAAGACGAATGGATTCCTCAACCGGCACGGACCTGTAGCTTTAAGTTGTCTTCTTGGACGAAGAGATAGCCGAGCGGACTTAACTTGCAGCGCGGTGGTCTTCCCCATATTGTAGACCCCTAAACGAAAGAGTGAAATAACAAAGCTGAGAAAGGATTGTAAAAAATGGGGGAAATTGAATGAAGGAAAGCACAACCTCATAAAAACAAAACCTCTAATACTTACTTGCGATTAGCGGGGAGATCGGAATCTGGATCTCCATCGGAGAGGATTGTCGAGATAAGGATATAGAGGCCACTGTTGTCGCCTCCGTTTCGGTTAACGCTTCGAAGCAAATCACAGTGATCGCTCCGACTCTAATTGATGGGGGTGGAATGGATTTTGGTGGTGGTCGTCGATTAAATTCCCCAGATCCAAATGCTCCTCTTTGTTGGAAGTAGAGGAGAGAGAGAGAGAGAGAGGGAGTGGGCTTGCAAGATAGCTAGGCTGAGATTATGACCTCGCAAGTCTTAAGATCGTAGCTCCCCTCGGATACTTCAGCAGATTCTCTGACCACCTAAACGAAAGAGTGAAATAACAAAGCTGAGAAAGGATTGTAAGAAATGGGGGAAATTTAATGAAGGAAAGCACAACCTCATAAAAACAAAACCTCTAATACTTACTTGCGATTAGCGGGGAGATCGTAATCTGGATCTCCATCAGAGAGGATTGTCGAGATAAGGATATAGAGGCCACTGTTGTCGCCTCCGTTTCGGTTAACGCTTCGAAGCAAATCACGGTGATCACTCCGACTCTGATTGATGGGGGTGGAATGGATTTTGGTGGTGGTCGTCGATTAAATTCCCCAGATCCAAATGCTCCTCTTTGTTGGAAGTAGAGGAGAGAGACAGAGAGGGAGTGGGCTTGCAAGATAGCTAGGCTGAGATTATGACCTTGCAAGTCTTAAGATCGTAGCTCCCCTCGGATACCTTAGCAGATTCTCTGACCACCTAAAACCCAGAAGAATACAATCAACAGAGGTTATAAGAGAAAGCATATAGAGAGAAGAAGTGAGAGGAGGAAGAAAGATGAAGGGAGAGTGGTTCGAAAGCAAGAAAGAGACCATCTTCGGATCTTCTGGGAGCGGGGGAGATAAAGATCGATGTAGGGAGAGAGAGGGGGAGAGAGCGTTGAGGAATATGGCGTCTGTAAATCAGGTACCGAGATGAAGGAGAGGAAATCATGATTGGTTTCTGACGGTTCTCTCTCTTCTCTCGAACCACTCCCAGTACTTCTCCCAACGATACTGTATGATGGGAATTGGGAGATAGATAGCCTGTATGGTGGGGAAAAGATCACCAAACTTCGTTGCGAAGGATCACAATAATCAAGAAACCCCTTTGCCTTTTCTGCTTTCTTTCTCATCATCTACCCCCTCACAGTGGTGAAGTTCCCAAGACTTCACATGCGATTTCGAGGAGGGAAGGATCGAGAGAGCTAAAGAAAACGAAGGGAAAATAAGCGTGCAACTGAGGGCAACGCGGCACTCACAGCAACAACGGCGGGACCCAGACGCAGGAACCAATAAGCAAAGGCGGTCAGGCCCAATCTCAGAGCATGGACCAATGGGAGGAGGGTGAACAGTAAAATTGAGTCTAAATGAATAGTAATTTCGTGTCTAGGCGAACAGTTTATCATGTCTTTGCAAATAACTTTTTTCAATTGAAAGGTGTGAGTAGTTTGATTCAATAGGCCTCTCATAATTTTGATTAATCTACCCTCGACTGGATGATATAACAGTAGTTTCGGATTAATAAAACTGTACTAAAATTTTACATAAAAGAAAAAGAACACCCCAACTATGTTCTCACATTTCCAGTCCAAGCCTTTGGGGACTAGATACTATAACAACACTCCTTTTGTTGTTATTGTAACAACACTAGTCTCCAACCAATAGGAAGCTAGGGTTGTGATGACTTTTTATTAGTTGAGTTGACCTAGTGTAAAATCAAAGCAGGGGTATAATCGTCATTATGAAAAAATTAAAAAAATTAAAAATATTTTTTATTTTCAGCCAAAAAATTTGGTCGCCGGAATTCGGCCACCGGTCGCCGGAATCTGGTCGCTGATCACCGGAATATGCTTTTCGTCGCCGGAATATGCTAGTTTCTAATCGGAATATGTCACCGGCGTCGGAATATGCTTACCGGCGACGGAATCTAGTCATCGGGGCCGGAATATGCCTATCGGCGTCAGAATCTGCTCATTGACGGTCATCGGAGTTCGGTCAATGAACTTCGTTGACCGATCAACGGTCAACGACCACCGGATGTTATGGTCTTCATTGTGAGATTTATGGTTTGGTTTCTCACATTTTTGTATGCCTTTTGTGGTTTGCTTAAACCGTTTGTGGTTTGCATTGAGAAGTTTGTGGTTTGCTTTATCGTGTTTGTGGTTTGCATTGAGAAGTTTCTGGTTTGCTTTCAAAAACTTTGTGGTTTGCATTGTGAGGTTTTTGGTTTGTTTTAATATATTTGTGGTTTGCATTAGGACGTTTATGGTTTGCTTTTTTGTGGTTTGATTTACTGTGTTTGTGGTTTGCATAGGAGGTTTCTGGTATGCTTTCGCAAATGTTGTGGTTTGCTTTGTGGGGTTTGTGGTTTGTTTTAGAGGATTTGTGGTCTCCATTAGAGATTTCTGGTTTGCATTAAGAAGTTTATGGTGTGCTTTCGAAACTTTTGTGGTTTGCTTTGCGAGTTTTCTGGTTTGTTTTAATATATTTGTGGTCTGCATTAGGACATTTTTGGTTTGTTTTACCGTGTTTGTGGTTTGCATTAGGGGGTTTCTGGTGTGCTCGCAAAGCAACAACAATATAAGATATTTGTTACTGGAACATATACAAAGATCTGTACGTAACAAAGTCATATTCCTATATTTACTAACTAAAACAACAAGCACATTAATTCTCTTTTGGACACATCACCAAGAGACATTGCAGAGAGATGATTGCCATCTCATCCTCTACCAATTAACAACGAAGAAACAAATTAATCAGGGCGCAAGCCGCCGTTAGGTCTCAGAGAGTTGCTGCTCGAAATCGATTAGAAATTCGAGCTCAGAAATCAACGGTAAGCTAAAATGTCAAAGCCAATTTCTTGTAGATCCAAATTCGAGATTTTAAAATTTAATTGAATGGGTTCTTTTTCCAGGAGAGATTCGACGAGATGAGAAGATTTGACGAGAAGTTCAGCTTCAGTTCACCACAGTCGGAGGCTCTATGCTCCTTTCGACAGCGGAATAATAATCGACGCCGCCAGTCTCGCTGTCGCCGATGAAACGCCGAAGATTGTGAAGATGGATACAAGGAGCAGGCCTAGGTCGCGATCTCGACGATGTACTACAAACACGCCTTCCTCTGTTCCCGATTTCGGCGACGACTCGCCGCCGCCGGTGGTTGTGCAGAATAAGGTAGACAACCTCTTTCTCCAGGGATCGAATTTCACGAATCTGTTGAACAGCTGTGAGTCTGTAAACAACCTATAAACAGGGAAGAGTTGAAATTGCGGGAGGAGGAAGCTGCACAGATGGTGTGGGAAAGCAAGGCGGAGGAGGACAAACGAGATCTGAATTTTTTTGTTCCGGCAGGGAGATGGGTGTTGTAGGTCCAGTCGTCGAGGAGGTTGGAGTTAGAGCGCTCTTCTCGCGGTTAGTCGACGGCGAAGCAGAAAGTGAGAGAAGAGGAACCTGTTTTTTCGCCGCCGCCGCTGCGGTTATAGTGATGGATTACGCTCCGACGGAGGATGGGGATAGACGGAGTGGAGGTGTTCGAGGTGGAGAATGGGGGATGGTTTTCCATTGGAGGCGAAACACAGCGGCGGAAGAGCGGGGGACGGAGGAAGACGCGTGTGATAAATGATTTGATTTTTCTTTTATTATTTAATTGTAATTTTACTATGTTGCCCTTGTTGTTACAGTAACAACAAATAGGCTGTTGACTGTTGTTATAGTATCCGCACCCAAGCCTTTGAGGGCAATGAGACATGCGGCCCAACTCTTCTAATTTGGCCTTCGTTTGGGTATCAAACCTTTCTCTCTTTTGAACCGACATTCGGCTGGCCATTTGGAAGAGTTGGGCTTGGCCTACATAGGTTAAACTAAACTTATAGTCTTATTTAGGAGAAACCCTCTCTCTGACAACCGCAGCCTAATGTCGACCAAAAGCCAAATCAACACATTTTAAGGAAGAACAAGATGCTGCATTTTTTTACCAGAACAGCGTCCAGCAAGCAACAAAGTGATCGTGAATAACATATAGTTCGAAGGTATACAAGGTGAGCGATATTTCATAAGTGAGATTCTTGGGGTCAGAAGACAAACTAAAGTTAGTGTCTTTATCATCAGTCCACAATGGTGCTACTCAAATTGATTATCATCAAGTACCAGATTACGATCTTCCAGCAAACTATTGCAGCTCTAAAACTAAGCAGAAACTAGACCACAAGATTTTAGATAACAGGCCATTCCCTATCCATCCTCACAGCCATGCATTCTTACAACATTTCAATGATCTGCTATTCAACTCTGCTGCACTTTACATGAACACTAAATCCTCCCATGCAACATTAGATTTCTTGAATAAACACAATGTACTCATTTGCCACAACCGTGGGTAAGAATGGATTTCCATTTTTTTCTATATACAAATCATCCCCTTGTTCTCTCCCCAAAACCCTAACTCTACCACCCCTACTTTTTAACGGTTGCAGATTCCAACATACTCAGACTTCAGACATCCATACATCACTAAGGCTGCCCACCTCTATTCTAAACGACGACGACGGTAGAAAAAATATGTTTACATGCTTTCGAAACATTCACAAAACCTGAGGGAGGAGAGCGTAAAAAGAAGAAAAGAAAGAAAGCGACCCGAGTCTTGCCCTATTTCATCACCCACTGTACCAGATCAACTATCATCATCATACAAAGTACTTTTTTTTTTTTTTTTTTTTGCAGGAACCCTAATTAAATATCAAGGTATTAGGTGAATTCACCATTCCCCTCGTATTCTCTCAGTCAGTTCTGAACCTACCCTGCACAATAAGGAGCAGCAAGAAGTAAGTCGTATGAACTCGTGGTGAAGGATGTTGCTAAAGTCACCATCTTGATTATTTCGATTCTAAATTGGAAAGGGAGAATCAGTTCCAAGAGCAAGGGAAAAGGGGATTTACCTCCTACATATGAAAACTTGGAAGTCAAAAGCCTTTCCCAAACTCTAAATAACCACTTCCAAAAACAATGAACAATATAGGATGCCAATCATTTTTCAGCCTGCTACTTTGATTGCACCAATGTCATCGATTTTTGAGCTCTTGTGCTGCAAGAACAAAAAAAAGTTGACTTACTAGGCAAAAAATAGGGGAGAAAGACATTGTAAAGAATTCCACAGCCTTCTTACCTTACTTTTCTTGTGTCTGTGAACATCATTTAGCTCTTCGTCCCCATCGTGTTTCCGTTTCTGAATTTGTATGTATGAAATAGTCCATTTTAGAGTGCAAATTCAATTAAACTAACAGAAATTTGAGTTTTCCACAAGAATGGAAAAGCCAGAGCATGCAACAGAGGATTGTTGAATGATCTTCTGGATGCTCATTTAAGAGGCATATAAAAACAATTACCCGGAGCATAAGTCCAATCAACCATATCCTTAAGAAAAGGAACCAATGAGTAATGATATCTAACCTTTTCATGGTGCTTTCTTGATTGATCGGGGTTAGATTCATGATGACCACTTTTATCCTTCTTCTTCTCCTTGTCTTTATCCTTACTTCGATCTTTATCTTTGTCTCTATGACGGTGCTTATGCTTCTTATGCTCTCGATCCTTGTCCTTATCTTTATCCTTGTGCTTTTTATGCTTTCTCTCCTTGTCTTTCGACTCGGTCTTTGATTTTCCTGCAATTGTAGGAGTCCCCTTTTCCGACTACAGCAAATGAAGAACAAGCAAAAAGCTCAGCATGGAATCACAAAAGACAAACGCAAAGGAAGTGCATGGTACACTTACAGCAGGCAATTCTACAGGAGTGGATTCCTTCAGTTGGAAGGCCTCCCTAAGCAAATCAAGGTCGAATGGCTTTATGCGTATACTTCCATCTCTTGGCTGGGAATTATTCTGGATAAGCTGGTCCAGTTGCATCCCATCCCCTTTTCTGATTTCAGTATCTCCAACAACATTATGAAGGTAGTGTGTGTCGGCAATTGACACAGGAAGTGATTTCTTGCAAAAGAAGTCGTGATGGGGCAACAATTTGAAATGACTTATAAGATCAATAGCACCAGTCAGCTCTCTTGGTCCTGAAATTTGCAGAACATAAATCAACGATACATAAAACTCTTAGTCTTGGAACTTCTAAATGGACAAGAATTTGTTATATAGTGAAACAACTAGTACCAACAAACTAGAAAGAATGCTATGAATCTACAGTTACATATATCAAGATTCCCCTTTTCATCCCTGGATCTTATTTTTCTAGCTAAACCAAAAACCAAAAATATAAAGTGCTGGATAACGGCAAAATGAAATAAGTGAAGGCAAGAAAGAGCAAGGAATGGTTCTCTAAAGCATCCTAGAGCGGTAAGTAGTTCATATCTTGCATCTGATGAGGGCTCAGCCGGTTACAAAGGCAAGCTGAAAAATCATTTCCACTCATTGGATTTTGGTAGCAGCAGTCAGTAACTTTCAGGGAATTCTAAATCCAATACATAACAATAAAGTAAAACTCGTTAAGTATTGAAGCTAAACATTTTTTATGCAAAACATTTTATTCTGCTCGAGATAATAGGCAGGTGAATACGACATTTACTTAAAACATTCCACAGCTTCCTTGAGAGGGACATTCATAACTATGCTTTAGCATGACTCCAAAATGGCTTTAACATCACTTGAAGCATAAAGAATGACATCTAAATAAGCATTCATCTAACATAAGAACAAGTTCTTACCACTTCCAAACTTCTTGGTATCAGGATCCATGTATCAGTGTTTCCTCAGTTGGTGATACACTATCTGCAAGATGATAGCCATGGTGTTATAATCCATTGAAAGCTCAAATTTCCAACAACATTTATGCGCATGTTAATAACCAGACATGCATAAAGAATGCATTCAAAATATGCCAGGACACAGAAGTACAGTCAGTATGCATAAGGGTAAAACAAAACTAGCAGCTGGCTTCCAAAGTCACGATATATCCCTTCCCTCAAGTAAACCCTTCAATCAAGTACACTAAGCTAGTCCAATGACGATAACCAATGCAGTCAATCATAAAAGTTACACATTTCACTAAAGCTTTCTCCAGCATTACTTCTTTTCCAAAACATGTGGAACAAGCCCTGAAGCCCTGATATTATATTGAATGTGTTCAGCCTCAACACAAACTTCACCAAGCATCATCAATAACAGGAGACCTTTTCTGAATGTAAATTCTTCCCACCAATGAATCATCTAGCTTTAATAACTTACTTCGAAAGAGCTAGAACGACTTTCTAGGAAAGTAATTTGATTTTCAGCTACTAACACGTAACAAGTCAAAAGCTGATCCGTACAGAAAAAAGAAAGCCGGTTCCTTTATCCTACTGCTGGTGATCCAATCTAATTCAAATCTTAAATTCTACGGTGAAACTCAACAAACTAGACTGAGCTTCATCTGAAAACACACAAAAGGAAGCAATACCCACAAAACGAAAGAGACTAAAGAGATTGAAAGAAGAACCAAAGGACGCGGCATTGACGGGAAACTCAAACAAAGTCGACGAGAGGCTCAAACACACACCATTGACATGAATCCCAGAAAAATTCTTCAACCGGGGAAGTAACAAAAATCACAGCTTGGGTTCGTCGGGGACTAGTCTCCTGCACCTTGGTAAGTAAGAACCTCGACTATAAGAAACCCCAATACGCCGGGAGACGGTGCGCTTCCTTCCTACAGTGATCTTCCGCAACCCGGAGATTACAAAACCATTGATTCGATACAAATGATAAGTCGACAGCAGCAGCAGCCCAATTCCAGGAATCCCAATAAGCAACGGGGTAAAAAGATACGAATTGACCGGGGGGAAATCGGGTAAACGACGAATTGAGAGGGGGAGAAAGACACCGGAGAATTGGGCGGGAAGGGAGCAAGAAAGAGATGGAATTGCAGGGATTTTAACAATTCGGGAGATCAAAATGACGGGAAGGAACTCGAGATTGGGAGGAGGGAGAGTAGTGTGGAGAGAAGATAGTAGTGGGGAAGGAATTTGGGAATGGTGTGCGAGAGTTCGAGTTCGCTCGCAGCAGCTAGGGTTTCGACAAAATAAGGGGAAGAATAACGGGGGATTGCTTGGAGCTTGTCGCGAAATAAAAACAAAAAATATATGCCAATTGTATTGTATTTCCTTCTTTCCTTTGCTTTATTTATTAGGTTAGATTATAGATTGTTCTACCAATTTAAAAAGTTCCTTTTCAAATTGTTATATTTTTTTACCTCACAACACCAACAAAATTCGTAAGGATATATGGTACAAAAGATTTTTTTTTGTATAGATTTCACAAGAAATTAAATCAATTAACATGGATTTTCCAGAAAAAATCTTTTAACATGTAAATATTTTTCCGCCAAAAATATAATGTATTAACTATCAATTGATAAGAGAGTTAATTTTAATTAATTATAACACTTGAATTAATAACTTATGAAATTAAAAAATAATATAACAAATCAGTTGGAGGTAGATATAGAACACAATGAGATACTAAAATATTTGTCGAACAACAAAGTAAATGAAGAAATTAAGAAGACAATCCATTCATGGGCATAGACTTTTAGGTCAACAATCCAAATCAAAGACACAAATAAGAAGTAAAAATCTTACATATCGATAAGTAGGACACCAATTATAACATCTTATTTTCTTATGTTTGATGTCTTGATAACTTATACCAAATCATCAAACCTTGCATATCGATAAGTAAGACACCACTTATAGTATCACATTTCATTTATTGAGTGTTTTGGTAACTTATACTCTTAAGTCTTATTTCGAATACTAAACTTACTACGAGTATTATTGTTTATTAGAAAGTTTTTTTTTAGACAACCTGTAATACATAATTTGAATATAATTTATCAACATAAATTATTTAAGATGGATGTGTGCATATCACAACATCCACAAGATTCAAATACTTTAAATCGCTCCGTTATAATTTTCTCTCCATGCGTTTTAATTCGTTCATAATAACATGATTAGCCAAGGTATTCATTTTCTTTCCCGCATTAAAATTTTCACACTATAAAAGAAAATAAATTTACATGGATAAATAGTACAAACGATTCAATCCACAATATCAATTTCATAAGGTAATTAGTGGTGCTAATCTTTTTCGCAATGAACTCCTTGATGCAAATGCAATAGTTCATCAAGATCCCTCCTACTCCTACAGGATATTCGGAAAATTTGAATCTTTTCACCCTCGTAAATAACCGTTGATCTCCGCCCTTGATTCCTTCCCAACGAACAAGTTAGCCTTTTATTTTGAAACACAGATCTTCCCGGCAATAATGGCTTCTTCTTCATGAATCCCCGCCATAACCGCTCTGCTGTATCTTCACTTCGCGCTTTCCTTGCTCATGGCTACCTCCTTCTCCGCAGTTGCCACGGCGGCGGCTCATCTGGCGGAGGCGGAAGCGGAGGTTGTGGAGCTGGAGCAAGGTTGTCGGAAATTCTAAGCAGCGAGAGTTCGATTACTTCATGCTAGCTCTGCAATGGTCCGCCACTTACTGCCGCTTCACCAGAAAATGCTGCAACCAAAACGCCTGCTGCCGAGGGTAGCACCATCTTCTACCCCGTTTCTAATTTCATGCTCAATTTGAATTGGGGGGTTTGATCGAATTCAAATGAATCAATGCCGAGAAGATCTGCCGGAGAAAAACGTGGTTAACTAGCTTGTCTATTATGCAGGGAGAACTCACCCTACTGAATTTACAATCCGTAAGTGAACAGAATTACATAAGCACTTGGCATTTGGTTGGAAACCAATTTGGATTATGTTGTTACTAGGAGTTGCAGAATTAGGTTTGCTAGAGCTGATTGAGTTTGTAACATCCTTGTAAACAGATGGGTTATGGCCTGATTACAATGACGGAAGCTATCCATCATGCTGCGGTGGATCCAATTTTAATGAGAAGGAGGTACTACTGATCTAAACTTATGCTGTGCATTATCTGTTGGTCAAATTGGTTTCTTTTTTCGGCTTTCCTATGGGTTGATGTTGATGTTGATGCAGTAGCTAATTGGGGAAGGAGAAAGTAATGATTGCTTTGTCTGAACTAGGGTGATTATCTTGTTAGATTTTGCATACGGCTCTAATGTCGAGCAGATGTAATGCTGTTCCTCCCCCTCTTCTCCACTTTTAGGGTTTAAGCTATTTGAAGTATTTACAATGCAATCTTACTTAGCAAAGTTGTGATATTTTAACTCTCAGATCTCGAAATTGCTTGATCCTTTGAACAAGTATTGGCCAACTCTAAGCTGTGGGAAATCATCAACCTGCCATGGGGTGAAAGGATCTTTCTGGGCACATGAGGTGTGTGTGTTGTTCAATCTTGTCTCACTTGTCCCTCTATAATTTGATTCAGAACTAACTAAATTTCATTTCCTTGGGTCGATGATGGGTTATCGGCTGATTTCACATCTGACAGTGGGGTAAGCTTTTATGCCCTATTTAAGTACTCACTGAGTCACTGTGAAGATTTCTGTTGATCATACTCAACTGCTCTTAGAGTACTGATGGTAAATGTAGTTTAGATTTTGATTCTATTGAACCTACGGAAAATGGCTGCTTAAGTTTGTTAGTTTTGATGGATGAAAATGATTGTTACTGGAGATTAGTCCAAATGAAAGCCCTATAAATTTCCTTTTTTAGGTCTCTAAAGTTGGTGTTAGGTTGAAGATAGATTTGCACATATACTGTGTGTAGCAATCTGTGGCTGATTCTATCGTACTTACTTGCAGAGAGGCATGGTACTTGTGCTTCACCTGTTACCGGAGATGAATATAATTATTTTCTCACTGGTCTTAATGTCTACTTCAAATATAATGTTACGGTACGAAAGCTGATTATGTTCGTATTGAAGCAGTCTCCAACAATATGCACAATCTTGTATGTTGGCAGCAAGTACTATTTGAAGCTGGATATGTTCCTTAAGCGTACCCTGTCAAAGGCATTATTTCTGCTATTCAGAATGCTTACCACGAAACTCCGGCCCTTGTTTGCTCAAACGGCGCCCTGGAGGAAATTCGTTTGTGCTTTTATAAGAGTTTTCAGGTCTTAACACCTAAAGATTTGTGTTTTTTGTTGGAGCACTGGAGCTAGTTGTTCATCGTCGATATACTACTTAAACCATCTTTGCCGTGGTTGTTTAAACATTGATCTAGTTTCTTATTCTTTAACTTGTTTACAGCCGGGAGAGTGTGTGACATCATCAACATTGCAAGACAGCAAGTATTCATCTTCGAGTTCTTGTCCAGAATATGTTAGCCTGCCAGCATTTGCCTCATCTGGTAAGTTCTTATGCTGTCTTGCAACTCGAATTGCGATCTTATGGATAAATCGTATATTTGCGTGAAGTTACCTTTTCCAGCTTGCATTTCCATGTATTTTTTCCCATACAGTTGTTTTAAATTCAACAGCATAATATCGTCTCCCTCTTGAGCCTACTGGCACACCACTGGTATCCTGTGATAGTTTCATCAGTCTATTGACCTATCTACCTCGTCCGTTGTCCTGTAAACAATAAATTACATGGCAGAAACTCTACTGTATATTATGGCTTTTATAAGCCTTGTTGAGCTATCCACATTCGTAGTAGCAGCAGCAGCAGTAGTAGCGAGTTGTCCTGTAAATACTCACATTGCTAAAAGTTTCCAGCTCTCGAAGATATTACAACTAACTCAACCAAAAAACTAATATGCTGCTTTTGATTTCTCTACTTCATCTAGGCATCTACAGTGCAACATGGATGCCTGAAGCTGCTGCTCAGTGAGATCTCCAAGGGCACGTGGTGCTGTATGCTCTGCTTCATTTACTGCCATTGAAGGAGCCTCCGGTTCCAGATCTCCCCAGTTAAAGCATTGTTCAATGTGGACATGGGGGATATTGGAAGTTGTAACCTGTTGTATTTATGTACTTCAGCATAATTAGCGGAATGATTGTTTATCAGTGGAGAGCAATCTCTTTTATATCCAATAACGAACTCTGCCTTCCAATGTGCAAAAAACTTCTCTTTCCTACCAAGACTTGAGACCTACACAGGTTATTTGCTATTAGAGATGACAGAAAACAATCGGGTGATGAGAATCGTATAACACAATTAAGAAAGTTTAAAATTCAAACCTCGCTTGATAGCTCTGGTGGCAGTGCAACCCATGCTAGTTTGAGAAGTCAGATACGATAATTGAAACCCACCTTACAAGAAAGAAATAGATACAATAATCTCAGCGTTTGGTTCTAAGCTGTCCTTAAACTGAGAAGACGAACGTTTCCAAAGCCAAAAGTAGATTCAGATGACATGACAACTGCCTTACCTTCCATTCCATCGGGAATCTGTTGGAGGAACATGAATCCTGTATCATGCTAGATAAGAAGATGCAAGCTTCATCCATGTGGAAAAACACAGCTTCGAAATATGTTCTGGCAAATCAGCCTGCAAAAAAATTAACGAGCATCATACACTGCAAAGTTCTGAAGAAAGAATTGTCTTTTGAACTCTTTAAGCAGAAGAAAAATAGACTCACATTCGTCAATGATGCTGAATAATTGTCCGTAGATAGCAACCAACTACTCCCATCAGCAGCTTCCACACCGGCACCAAAATCGTTCAAACTATTATACTCCAACAACTCATCATTGTCATCATCGAAGTTTCTTCTCCTCTTCTTTCTCCTTTCCTTCTTCTTGTGCTTCTTCCTCTTAGTCGATTCTCCACTGCCCAATTCAGGTTCGCTGTCTTCATTTATCAGACCATATTTGTTTGTCCTCCTGAAACCGATTCCATTATTTGAAAACAAAGATTCCCATGCCTCAAGTTTCCTGCACTCCTCTGACAATAAATACTGAATAACCCATGACTGAATCCCCAATAGCTTAATCACTTCTTCCCTTGTTTTTTTCTCCTTTAAGCACTCCCTCAGCAGAGGGCTCAAGGTGTTAGCATCGCTCAGGATTCTGCACATCTTTGAAATAATATCCTCAATTTCTGATCTCTGCTCCTCAATATCCTCCTCACGAAGTAGCCTCAAGAGATGGCGTCCATGGTTTATGACCCCATTGACCAAAAGAACCCGATCAATAGACCCAACATTTTCAGAAAGGATTATCTCGAGCCAAGAAAGAACCCCACCTTCTTCTGACCTGGGTTTTAGATTCCTAGGAAGCAACTCAAGGAAAGAAGAGAATTCCTTCTCTTCTAGAACTATAAGGAGATGGTGACACAGAGAAGAGAACGGCTCCTCCATGAGAAACTCATTTACAAGATCCCAAACATCTTTTGAATCATCCTTGAACATCAATCTGACAAAGAAGTCAAGAAAGTACTTTCGATCAATTTCTATAATCTCACCATCTTTGAGTGACTCTTGGAATTCAGTGGATGACCAGAATTCAGGGACGTGTTTGATGAAATTCTCTACTGTTTGATGTACATCTAGATCGAGAAGGTAATGTGGCTTCGTTGCTACTACAGCAGGCGATTGTCCATGCTTCCCTCTCCACTCAAGCTCCTCCCAACAGATGTCGCGGTTCACAAATGCAAACTGAAACAACGCCTTGGCGCCCTTTTTGTGCTCTAATCCAGCTCCATTAGCAAAGTTGGAAAACCACTCAGATATTCGCATAGAGTTTCCTGCAAAAGAAACAGAATTGTTAAGGCAACAAGCATATTCGGAGAGGAAGTACAAACTAATTCAAAGGAAAGTGATTGAACTTGCCTTGGAAGAATCTCTCAAGCACGTGACTCCTTTTCGATACAATTCCACCTGCTCTGTGAGGCCTCTTTGTGAATATCATCTGCAGTAGCTGAGTTGCTATCCCTACCTGTGTAGGCTTGGTTCTCAGTAGCTTCACGAAGATGTCTCGTTGCTGGCTGGGAGTTATGGATTCAATGCCTCCAATGGTGTTGCATAGCCATAAACGAGCTTCTGATCGACCTGAAGCTGTCATCAATGACCAAAGGACAGAACCTAACTGGTTCAAGACAGAGACCCATCTCTCCCCCAATTCATTATCTCCGTCACAATCCCCACTCGAGTTCGGCTTCGAGAGAAGCAACTGCACCATTCCTGCTAAAAAAGTAATCAGACTTATCAAAATCAATGATCTAGAAAGCGAATTCGCATCACGGTGAAAACCAGTTCTGCATTCTAGTTACGAGTTCTGTTGTGGCGGAAAATCAAGAGGTGGCCAAGAAGAGAAATCGAAACTGCAATTGAAGAAACGAAACAAACGCGAAGTGTGGATAGAAGGAGGATGAGAGGGAACCAGACCTTGGCTGGAACGTAAATTGAGGCCGCCGGCGAAACCGAGAGAAAGGGCAGAAAATCTTTTCGTTTGCGCGGCGGCGGAAAGCTGACCGGAGTAGCAGCAACTTTCTCAACTTCTCTCGATTGGGATTTTGCGGCCTTCGTGCGAAGGAGTACAAAAACGTCGTCTTTGTGGGTAATTATCATAAATTATCACAAATCTATTCACTTTGTACAAAATGGTCACAATTTTTTAATTTTGCACGTTTTAGTAATAAAGGTTTGAGTGAATAACAAGATAGTAAAATCCGTCCAATTCCGTTCCAAATTCCATCATTGCCCCGTCAGTGCAAATATTAATTAAAAAATGATTAATCAACCCACTTAACCCGACAATCCAACCGGTCGGAACAAACCCTTTACCCATCCGGTCCCCAATTGGACTATTACCCCCAAAGTCCAGAACGAAATCACGAGGAGAGGAGGAGACTGGCGATTCTCCTGCCGTCGGCGACCAAACCTCCTCCAACCGATTGGTCCGCCATCCTCCTCCTCGCCGACACTCCTCCAACTGATTCGTTCGCCGGCTGAACTGCGGGAGATATGGTGTTTTATGTTCAACTGCGGGACTATTTGGCGACGGAAGATGAATCGCCCCCACCTGGGACTATTCGGCGCACCTCTAATCCCTTCACCCGATTCTAGAACCGGAACAAGCATTCCTCGAGCTCTTCCCTCTTCCGTTCAATCTCCTTCTCTTGAACCTCGAGTTCTTTCCTCTTCGCTGCCAATTCTTCTTCAACCTTCCGAACTCCAATCGCTCTTTCCTCAATGTAACTCCCCAGCGACTCGAAGTGCTCTTCTCTTTCCCCTAGCTCCCTCAATTTCGAATCCACCGACGCCTTCACCGCGGCCTTCTCCTCTTCCACCGACTCGGCCAACTTCTTCTGCTCCGCAATCTGCTTCTTTGTCTGAAACTCGAACGCCTCGACCTACTTCTCGAGTTTCTCCTTCCTCCACTCGAGTTCCTTGGTCTCCTCCGCAACCTTTTCATCCGCTAACCGCAGGGCCCTGGCGCATGCTTCTACGGCGGCGGTGGTGGAAGAAATCGACGAAGCGCGGTAGAGGGAACCGTCTATGGTTGCGGTGTTGTCCGACAGGTGAGTCTAAGTTGCCGTAGACTTGATTCTGCCGCCATCACTTTGTGTAGCTGAGCCTGAAACTCCGACTTCGACTTCTCCCATTGGAGCATGACACGCATTCCTAGGAGGAGAGAGCGGAGGGAGAGAGCTAAGAATTGCCGGTCGGCGGTGTTGCGGAGAATCGCAGAGAAGATGAATCGTGATCTTCCGTGGACGAATGACCCGCAGTTGAACATAAAACACCATATCTCCCGTAGTTCAGCCGGCGAACGAATCGGTTGGAGGAGCGTCGGCGAGGAGGATGGTAGACGAATCGGTTGGAGGAGGTCTGATCGCCGACGGCAGGAGAATCGCCATTCTCATCCTCTCCTCGTGATTTCATTATGCCTTTTGGGGGTAATAGTCCAATTCGGGACCAGATGGGTAAAGGGTTTGTTCCGGCCGGTTAGATTGCCGGGTTAAGTGGGTTGATTAATCATTTTTTAATAAATATTTGCACTGACGTGTCATGCTGACGGGGCAATCTAGGACGAAATTTGGAACGAAATTGGACGGATTTACTATTTTGTTATTCGCTCAAACCTTTATTACCGAAACGTGCAAAATTAAAGAATTGTGACCGTTTTGTACAAAGTGAATAGGTTTGTGACCATTTATGATAACTACCCTCGTCTTTGAAGTTTGCACAAACTCATAGATCCAAATTGTCAACCCGATTTAATCCATAAAGCCGATTTGACAAGTGGTCAATGGTTAGATACTTAGATTGGAGGTCAACCGGTTTAAATCTATTTTAACAAGATACAACAAGCAAGGATCGGAATCGGATAAATCATTTAACAACAAATAAATCTCAAGGCAATCTTACTACAACCTACATTATTATTATTATTATTATTTTTTAAAGAAAAGGGAATTACAGTATCACCATTATTTTTTTTAAGATCATGTTATTATTATTATTATCTCTAGAAAAAACAAGCAAGAAATTTACTGTTCCTTAGAGTCACATCACACAACACAAGCGATTCTTTTGTAATTAGCAAAAACTTGAAGGAGTTTAAATGCCATTGAGGTTCTAAACAATTATTATTATTATTATTATTATTATTATTATTATTATTATTATCTCTATAAAAGAACAATCAAGAAATTTACTATTCCTTAGAGTCACATCACACAAGTGATTCTTTTGTAATTAGCACAAGCAAGAAATTTATTTTTCTTAGAGTCACATCACACAAGTGTTGGTTGCGTCGAGCGCGAGACTTTATACCTGTCTTTACTACAAATCAAACTCAATATAAATGATTAGCACAAATCAATCCAAAGGTGAATTTTAATTCTAACTATCTAAGACCCTTCTACCTTAGGCCTAGACGTATAATGACACACTAGGATAGACTGATTAAAATTTAATCCCAACAAAGCCTATAAAAACGTAAGGCCCACTTATCTTAACCTAGTTTCACGCTACTGGGCTTCTATTCCCTAACACTGAGAATGCTCAGGCGAGTTAACCCAGCCCGGACGTCCAGCCCACTCTCTTCTCGTCCCGACCCAACTTCTAATTGAGGAAAGCAAAACGACTGAGTTTCAACTCAAGTCAAGTCCCCCTTCCCGCTTGTCACTTAGATCAAACACAAAATCTGTTTCTGTTCGAATGAAGAACAGAGAAATAAAAACTTAAGAACACAGCAACTTGAACCCAGACAAAATGAACCCAGTCAAGTTAATCACAACTTCACGAGTTCCTCAACCCTGTTCTGCCAAGTCGCCTTCACTGGCTATTCTTGTATCAAGTTCCCCAGCACAGTAAGACCTGAAACAGAAGCAAGCAGAGGCACACACAGGCAAAAACAGAAAAGCAGAAAATAAACCCAACACACGATTTTTACGTGGTTTCCAGTATTGGGAGAATGAGAATCCCAATACTGACTACTCCACGGTCAGAGAATCACGGTTGTGTGATCTCTGACGATTCACTATGATATAGCGTTGACGTTCTTCGTTACAAGCAATCTACCCAAGAGCCCTTTGATCAATCTCTACCCGATTGATCTAACTCTCTTTTCTCAAACCCGAATTGCTTCCCCAGCAACTCGAAACCAGTGTTTCCCCAACACTAACCCTCAAAGCAATTCTCCCCGAACCCTTTGAGAAACCCCTTTCCTATCACTCTAGCTATTCTCACAAAATCCCCTTTTGGCTTAGCTAGTTTTTGATCTCTTGAAAGGTTGATTTTGTTCTTCCTTCAAATCGCCTTTTATAGGCTGCAATGTAGCTATTGAGAATTTGAATTCCCTTGAAATCTTCAAGCATGGCAAGTTCTTATTCTTTCTTCTTTTGACCCGAAAACTTGCCTTAACTGATTTTGGGCAGCCACTGATTTTTCACCTTGATTTGATTCTTGTCTTGGCCATCAAGAAGTTCTGCCATTGTCAAGTTGATGCCAACATTCTCCCCCTCAGCATGACAATGGCTGACATTCTCCCCCTGAACAGAATGTCCCATAGGTTGTCTCACCTTGTCAAAGTTCACTCTTTAAGCTGCTCACCTAAACCTGCACACTTCAACAAACCATTGGTGCAGCCTGTCCATTCCTATGATCATGGCAGTAAGAATCAAATGCAACTAGAGCCGAAATAGGAGTCCATTTTATTCAAGGAGACATACGACACAAAACAGCCCAAAACACTCTACCTAGACTAAAGCAAAGTTAACACTCAATCAAGACTTAATAGCCCAAAAACAGACTCGAAAAGAAGAACAGAAAACATTCATGGAACTCCCCCTAAGACTAAGCAGCAAGATTATTCCTAGTAGGTGTACTCCGGAGATGACGCATACTCCGATGGATCGACTTCCTCATCCTCCGAAGGTAAGAATAACACCCTGCTGACCTTCTTGCCTGAGGTGCTGGCCTCTTTTCCCTTCAGTGACATGGTAAAGTCACGAAGGAGACTTTTTCCATCATTTTCCAGCCTTACCCCTTCCTATATATGCTCCAATGTCAAAGACTTCTTGCGCTTTCCCGTCGATTCTGCTATTCCCTTTCCCTTGTCAATCCTGGAGATTCCACCAGCAGTGTATGCTGCTGCCGTGTCCTTTAACCAGCTACCCTCATCATTGTTGTCTTCTTTTGGTTCTGATTTGGGCTCACTATTGGCAGCTTTGTCTCCCCCTTGAACTTTGGCAAGTTTGCGGGGTCCAAGCCACAAGATGGGGCGACGCAGGACATGTTGAGCTCGCAGATCAGAACGATCATCCCGGTTGATGATTTTCCCACGCAGATCGACCCCTAAGATGGCCAACAGATGGGTGATTTGCGGGCCAAAAGGCAGCTTGCCACTGCACTCTTCGTCGCGATATTTCATCATATGATTAAACATCAGCGAGGCATAGCTGATCGGGCAGCTTGTCTTCGCGTTGAACAGAATCCAGAGGTCTGAGTCGTCCAGAGTGGCGGCCTGGTCAGCAGCGCGAGGGAGGAACACACGACTGATGTAGAACTGCAGCGCTCGCAGATCATCCGGCAGCCGCTCCACGGAGAACCTCGAAAGCTCGTGACTCCCGTAGTCGCTAGCCAGATAAGACATCGCGTCTATGGGATGAAGCCCATAGTTGTCAAAATCTGCAGCAGTTCCGGCTTGATACCCTCCATGAGGAAGATGCAGCAGATTGGCCAGGATATCAGCAGTAACCGTCACACTGAAGTTGTAGACGGTGGTGGTGAAGTACGATAGATAACGCCCAGGACCGCACTGCATACTTGCGTAGAACATACGCACTGCTTCAGGGCACTGATCAAGGAGGCGATTCTGGAACAGCGAACTCCATCCAAGATCATTGATGTACCCATACACCCTCAGTCTGTACCGGTTGAACGAAGTGGGGGGAATGAGGAATGAGGGATGCAGAGGGCGATCACAGAAGCTACGCAGATACTTGGAGTAAGCTTCTGAGTTGCGGAATCCCCGATTCGTGAAGATTGCAGCAGGTGCAAGGTTCACATTGAGCTGGGGATTGCTCGGTGCCATGG